GGTTTAAACGCGAAAAATCCGCTTCACAATGATTTTTGCATTACGGCGATCTAAAAACAGCTGATCATCCCATTTCAAAATGGCCCCCCACTGTTTTCTAGGACAGATTCCTTGCTTTACAGGCACGGAAAATGGCCGTCTCTATGGAGGATCTTCGCTGGATGGTGAGTTTTCAGCCCATTGGAACGCATTGAAGGGTTTTCAATGGGCTTTTTATTTCGCTTAATGAGGATTTCGCTCTACAGCGATTTTGCTGGAACGGATTATCCTCGTTAAGTGAGGCACCACTGTATCACTTACCTGGAAAGCACTACTGGCTCACTATAGTGGTTCTAATCTCGTTAAGCGAGGCACCACTGTATCACTTACCTAGAAAGCACTACTGGCTCACTATACTGGTTCTAACTTGATAAAACATCACATATGCACAGAATCTGATGAATTATATACTATATTCAGGTCTGAATATCAGGGTGTAAAGACCTACCTGAGCTCAAGGGGTATATGGGTGTTCCACAATCCATTGCAATCCACTGATTCAGAACTTTTGTTCGACTTCTGTACCCATGTGGCAAATCAAAAAAACAAAAGGCATAAATAAGAGACGAGCAGTGCCCCAGCTTCCCGGCTCCACCTCCTCCAGACGCTGCCTCTGAGTGGGTGCCCTTTGGAGGAGGTGGGACTGGGTAATGCTAAGTACATGTCTGGCCGATAAACAAATTGGCACGAACTGCTGAACCGGTTCAAGCATTACAAAATTACAAAACTGGCATAAGCCATTACAAAATGCTCTCTATTATATGTATTTATTTTTCTCTTCTTTGTTTTTTAGTACTAACTGAGAAGCCTAACAATGACCCCGATCAGGAAAAAGTGAACCTCTTGGTATGAACATAACCATGCAGAAGTGAATGCATACTGTGGTTCCATTGTTTTGAACTGGAACTAAGACTAATAAATTAATGCAACGTGAAGACTTAATTTTCTTCCATCATAGATCCAAAAAGCTCTCCTAGCTTTAAAGACCCCAGGAAGAATGGATGGGGTGAAGCTTAGAAACAACCAAAATAAAGTATTTGTAAAGACAATTACTATAAAAGAGGACCTGAAACAACAGTCTATTGTTATGTCTCATTCTTCTGATGATCTCTTTCCCCTGGTTATCTTTGCAGAATAGTTATATTAGCGGATTTTGTCATTGCTGTTTCACTAACACATAAAGGCCACCACAAATATGGGTGGCTTGGCTGTAGTCTCAAAAATAGTTTTTTTGACTGTCCTACAGTGGACCCTCATCTTACAGACGGCTCGACTTACAGACTTTTCGAGTTACAAACTTCTCTGGCCGCAAAATTTAGGTTCGACTTGCAGCCAGAGAATTGACCTACAGACCGGAAAAAAACCCAAATGGAACAAAAACAGAACAAAAACAGCTGATTATGGATTAATTGGTTTTCAATGCATTGTAGGTCAATGGAGCCTCGACCTACAGACTTTTCGACCTGCAGCCACCATTCCAATATGGATTAAATCCATAAGTCGAGGGTTCACTGTAGTTCCTTTTAGCTTGAGCTATTTAGTTTATAACTCTTGCAATATTTCCTTTTCCTCTCTCCACTCAGCTGTATTGTTTGTCAAAGTCACTCTTCTTCCTGTCAAATCTATACCACACAATCCAGTGTTAATTGTATAAGAAATGGATGTTTCTCCCATTTCAAAGGCCTTTTTGAGGATCAATATTTCAGCCTCTGCACCCTCATTTTTTCCAAATAAAGAAAAGTATGTGAGGCCAACAATTCACTTTCAGTGAGGATCAATATTTCAGCCCCTGCACCCTCATTTTTTTCCAAATAAAGAAAAGTAGGTGAGGCCAACAATTCACTTTCAAGATAAGCAGGATTGATCTTTTCAATTTATACAAAGTATCTTAAATCAGCAGGGGCTTGGGGTCACCTATTTCTGAATGGGAGTCTAAAACAGTTTTGCATTTTATTATTACTTGAATCCTCTTCATCCATACTTCCCCAAATTTGGCAGAAAGTAAGAAAGGACTGTATGCTTTATGGCTGAGACGCAATTGCTCAGGCCAAATAAGACCCATGGATGGTGTTTCTGCTCCCATTATGCTGACTGTGTATGTTTTTGTAGGAATCGACAGATAATATGTGTCTCATGTAAATCCCATATATTAAGATAGATAGCTATAACATTCTGTTTGAACATTAATCTGCATGATTATAATAGGCCACATGAAAAACTGAGTTTAACGGCTATTTAACTACATACAGTGGTGCTGTAAATCCCATATATTAAGATAGATAGCTATAACATTCTGTTTGATTAATCTGCATGATTATAATAGGCCACATGAAAAACTGAGTTTAACGGCTATTTAACTACATACAGTGGTGCTCCGGATAGCGACGATAATCCATTCCGGATTAATCATCGCTATCTGGAAACATTGCTAATCAGAATGAAAAAACCCATAGGAACGCATTAAACTTCATTTAATGCGTTCCTATGGGCCCCAAACTCACCGCTATTCGGAAATCCTCCATTGCGCCGCCATTTTCGCACCCTCGGTAAGCGAGGGCAGGGTGCGAAAACACTTGCGGTGGCCATTTTGGGCACCCGGCGGCCATTTTGGAACCGCCAATCAGCTGTTTCCCGATCATCACAATGCGAAGATCAATAAGTGAAACGCTTACCGATCATCACAATGCGATGTTTGCCCTATGTAAACATCGCAATGCGATCACATTAGCGATCTCAAAAAATAGATCGCTATGCGGATTAGTCGTTAAACGGTGCGCTTGTTATTCGAAGCACCACTGTATTTTAAAGTTATTTGCGTTCAACGAATCACTTCTTTCATGTCTTCTCTTAGGATACAGATGTTTCTTTCTCTTATTTCCTTGTAGGAATGGACATGACCTCATGGAAAAGGTCAAACATTTTGTTGTCAAGGATCATTTTTCTTTTTTGTTATAAACTTGCCAGATATGGACAAGCCAAAATGCAATCATCTGTCAACATTCATAATTTTGAGAATTTTGCAATTCAGTTTATAAATTAGAAATGTACATAATAATACATTATTCAGAAAAGTACAAACATAATGCATGTGGAAGGAATGTATTCTATCAGGCGGAAAACATTTGCTATAAGATCACAGGGAAAGGTATATAGCAAAAACATATAAGGAAATGTGCTGCCTTTTCACTTCAAGAACTGAAGCTTTGTTATAGTCACAAACTGACATCAGTGGTGGCCAGAATAACCTGGGGCAAATTAGAACATCACCCAAACAAAAATGAGTAGACTATCTTGTTCTTAATCCTGATGCTTACGTACAAAGCCTTAAACGGCGGTGGCTCGTCGCCTCTGGTACAACCTACCTCCTGAGATTCGTGTGGCTCCCTCGCTGGGTACCTTTAAAAATCAACTTAAAACATGGATGTTTCGGCAGGCCTTCCCTTCAGTCAATCCCTGATGCCCTCTTTCTTCCTTCTGTTGTCTATTTTATTATGTTTATTTTTATGTAAAATTGTTTTATATATGTTCACTGTTCTATTTTATGCTGTTAGCCGCCTAGAGTGGTCTTAACCGACCAGGTAGGCGGGATATAAATAAATAGATAAATAAATAAATACCCCCAGGTCACATGATGATTTTTTTTTACTTTTTCACATAAATAAATAAATAAATAAATACCCCCAGGTCACATTATGAATTTGTTTACTTTTTCAGTACGCTTGGATTAGTCATTAAACAAGAATAAAAGTTTCTGTGTTGTTGAATTTAATTTTGCATCATCTAACTTTAACAAATGAAAAGAGTCTATGCCTCATTTCTTCCCAGTCTAAAGTTTTACTGCTTGGCCTAAGGTCTAAAAACAGAACTTACTGGTAGTTTTAATACACGTATTATTAAAAATTTCCAAGGAGATTGTGACTTCCCCTTGGGAAAGGAGGAAAGCAAAGACTCAAAGGGATTGATTAGTCTTACAAAGCATATAAGGTTGAAACAAAGTGAAGGTGATAACAAACATGCTTTAAATCATTGCATCGAGGTGTGTGTTCATAAGGAGGATGAAGGAAAGGAGAGACACCGTATCCAGAAAAGAGACACTGCAGAGAAGGTAATTCTAGTGCTGTGGTCTCTCCATAATATTATATGCAGAGATGTGGGATGGAGATAGTGTGAACAAATAATTTCTGAAGGCTAAAAATTTTGTTTATTTTGAGTATTAGTGAATGATGGTCATGCTTTGTGAATTCTTCAATGCACAGGGTAATTTCTGGAAACTGTTCGCTAAAATCTGCACTATTCCCTGAAGCATTTATCCTTCCCTAAATAAAAAAATTTGTTGAAGACTTTGAGGATTTGTAGCTGTGATTTGTAACTAAAGTCAGGGAGAGGTGTAATTCATACAGCTTGTAGATTTGACGGAACTTGCTGATTTACACATACACAAAGAGGAATACAGCTCAGTTTTGAAATCTGCATTTTACTGGAGTTTGTGGACAAAGCTTGGAACTCAATTATGCATGAAAAATGTGCATGGTATAGAAAAGCACAAACATAAATTCATGTATTATAAAGACATTTCATTAAAAATGCTTTTTTGAAAAAAGATTTGCAAGCATTTGTGCAATTTGAACAATTTGAGCAAAAAAGCACATGAATTAAAGGAAATGGGAACAAAAATATGTACAACTTTATATTTGCGTATTCATGCACAAAAAGGAAATACTGAATTTGTTGGAAAGCATGGCAAATCAAATAGAATCCACACATTTATCTTTTCTCATTCCTATTGGGAAGCAGCAATAGAAAACCTATTTCCACCTTTAGTTATTTACCTTTTTTGTTTGTTTATTGCCTGTTTTAGCATTGTGTGACCAATGGGTTTTTTTTGAGGAAAGGAATCACATTCATTCGTTTCCATGTGCTTACAATAGAGTTGTTTATCCTTGCAGGTGTGAATTGACAAGATGGAACAACTGATACAGGAAAACCGAACATTTGTCACTGAATTTCTCCTTCAGGGGTTTGGAGACGTGGGGGACCAGTGGTTTTTCCCCTTCCTGCTCTTCTTGGTGATCTACATTGCTACCATGACTGGGAACATCCTCATCATTATGCTGGTTATAATTGACCATCACCTCCATACTCCTATGTACTTCTTCTTAGCTAACTTATCCTGCTTGGAGACTTGTTATAGCTCCAGTATCCTTCCCCTGATGCTAGCAAATCTTTTCAATGGGGGTGAAGGAACCATTTCTGTAACTGGCTGCTTGGTGCAGTATTATTTTTTTGGTTTTTTAGCAGCTTCCGAATGCTACCTGCTTGCTGCAATGTCCTATGACAGGTATGTGGCAATATGCAAACCACTGCTCTATAGAACTCTTATGAATGGCCAGGTTTGCCTGCAGCTAATAGCTGGATCTTGGATAAGCGGTTCTATAGCTATTAACATAACCATCTATTTGATGCACCAGTTGCAGTTCTGTGGCTCTGGTGCAATCAATCATTTCTTCTGTGATTTCAATCCAATATTGAAGCTTTCATGCAATGACACGCACAGGATTGAACTGTTATCAGTCTTTCTTGCTGCCCTGTGTTCCTTGCCTCCCTTTTTGTTGACCTTGGCTTCCTATGTTTCCATCATATTTGCCATTCTGAGAATCCCATCTAGCAGTGGGAGGAAAAAAGCTTTCTCAATTTGCTCTTCTCACCTCATTGTGGTGTCCATCTTTTATAGCACAATAATGATTGTCTATATGTTGCCCAAAATGGAGGAACTACAAGATCTCAACAAAGTCTTCTCTCTGTTCTATACAGTCCTGACACCTTTCTTCAACCCCCTGATATATTCCCTGAGAAACAAGGAAGTAAAGGAAGCGTTCAGAAATGTTTTTGTTAGATTATGTACATTTCAAAGAACACATGGGTCTACTTTTCTCCTTTAAATTCTGGTGTTTCTCCCATTCTATTAGGAATATAATTTTAAAATTCTTTTTTGCCTGAACTCTTCATAGTGGAGTCTTCTTTAGGCAGTTGGGAATAATGGAATAACTAAATTTTCCTTTTCATGTATGCAGAAGGGGGTAAATCTCTTTTTATTTTGGTTTTCATTCTCCAAATGTTGTAGATTCTAGATGTGTATTCCTTGAATAAACTAGAGTTGCTTTCTTCTTTCTTTATTCATATCAGAGCATTACACAATTTAAAATTATGGATGTATGTGAAATGAAGGTAAAAATAAAAATAAAATAAAAATATTAAGACAGACAATTTTTGACACCCTACTTCAATAGTGAAAACTTGGCTAATTGTTAGATCTTCTTTTGATAAGTGCTGCATTGACCAGATTTCTCCAAAGTCACCGAAAATCTGTTCTCTATTCAAGTAGCCCCATGTTACTCAACAGAGCTGCTTGCCTGTGTCCATTAACCATTTGAGTAAAGCAATGGATTTAAAAATATGTGCAAATTGTGGAAATGCTGGGAGAGGTTTGTGAGTGTTTGGGATGTGGGCATGTCAAATTAGATGCACTGGGATGCCTAGATGTTCCCCCCCCCTACATAGTGCAGGACAAATAGAAAATCCCTCCCCACTCCACTTCTTTAGCATGAGGTCTGGTGAGGGGAACAGAGCAATCCTTCTTCTACCACCCGGACATGGTTTTCTCCATCCAGGCCAAAGTGCAGCCAGGGATCACATGTTTGGAGCCTGACATATGCATAGCTGTGATAATATCTTCTCCCACCCACTTCAGGCTTCCATGTATCCTGCCCCCAGGCAAAGGGATCCTGGAGTGTGTGAGGTTGAGATATGTAGGCAGAAAAATTTAACATAGCTGAAATCCTTTTGGCACAAGATATGGAATGAACTTAGCTATAGTGGCAATTTTTTGTAATTAAAGATTCTCTGCTCCAACTTGCAAACCCAACAACTTCTGAAGAATGAAAGGGCTTCCACAGGAGCCTCAGGACCATTTTTGGAAAAGTCCAAAATATTTTCTTTCTGGGAAAAAAAATCATTCAGGTGATAATATCCTCAGCCTTTTTCTACCTGGAAATCTCTGAAAGTCAAAATTGACAAGTTAAAATTGACTTCATAGCATATGATTATTCTTATTATTACAGTGTTGCCTCGCTTAGCAACGTTAATTCAGTCCGAAAAAATCACTGCTAAGCGATAACATCGCTAAGCGAAAATAAAAAGCCCATAGAAACGCATTAAAATGCGATTAATGCGTTCCTATGGGCTTAAAACTCACCTTTAAGCGAAGATCCTCCATAACACCGCCATTTTCAGTGCCTCTAAAGCAAGGAATCTGTGCTTGAAAATAGTGGGCGGCCATTTTGTTTACCCAGCGGCCATTTTGAAACTGCCAATCAGCTGGCCGAAAATAGCCCATAGGGAACATCGCAAAGCGATCAGTTTTGCGATTGCAAAAACATCGTCGCAAAGCGATTTCGCCATAAAACGGAGTGATCGCTATGCAAGGCACCACTGTATATCCAATTCTCCCAAAGCAAAAAACCTTCTGGTTTATGGATGTGGAATATTATGTTTCTGTACCCACAATTCAAAAAGCCAGGAAAATGGCCCAATATTGCTACACAAAAACCCTCCGATCCTGAGGGTGGGTGACCCCAACGTCAGCAGTCTGGGGAAACTCTTTCTCATTTGGAGGGTGACTCTTACCGCAAAGAGTGAGGTTTGCAGCTTGGGGATCCATCTGGACCTGGCGCTCACCATGGAAGCTCAGGTGGCTTCGGTGGTCTGTACTGCCTTTTTCCATCTACAGCGCATAGTCTAGCTGTGTCCCTATCTCGATGTTGGGGCGCTCACCACCTTGGTACATGTGCTTGTAATCTCAAGATTAGACCATTGTAATGCACTCTACGTGGGGTTACCTTTGAGGTTTATGCGGAAACTCCAAGTGGTGCACAACGTGGCAGCCTTAGTGGAGGGAGAAAATATCATCATATCTCTCCCACTCTGGCTACTTTGCATTGGCTGCCCATTCGGTTCCGCATTTACTTCAAAGTTTTAATGCTTACATATAAAGCTCTAAAGAGTTTAGGGCCTTGATACCTGGTGGAACGCCTACTCCCACCAAAATCTACCAGTATCACCAGATCAAGTCAGGGGGTGAGGCTGAGGAGCCCGATGCCGAGGGAGGCCCGGAAGGAAAAAACAAGAAACCAGGCCTTTTTGGCAGTAGTTCCTCGCCTCTGGAATAACCTTCCTCAGGAGATTCGTGCGGCCCCTTTGCTGGGCATCTTTACAAACCAACTGTAAACTTGGATGTGTACGCAGGCCTTCCCTCCAATTAATACTTGATTTATTTATTTCTTTTTATTACATGTTTTCTTCTTTTTTCTCTCTTTTTCCATCTTGAATAACTTGTCTATTGATGTTTAAAAATTTTCTTATATTTTATATTTTTTTATATATGTTGGAAGCCACCTAGAGTGGTCATTCGACTAGATAGGAGGGGTATGAATGCAATAAATGAATGAATGAATGAATGAATGAATGAATGAATGAATGAATGAATGAATAAGCCAGAATGCAATCATCTGTCAAAATGCATCCTTTTTAGAAGTTTACAGTCTAGTTTGCAATGCACACAAATGCACACAACAAAACATACATAATGGAAAATTGCAAAAACAATGCATATGGCAGGAGTGTATTCTCTTAGGGGAAAAACATTTGCATGGGCAAAGGTGTACAACACATGCATATATAAATAATTATATAAGGAAATTTTCTTGTTAAAATAAATATTCAGAGACAGATACAAATATTGACCAGAACAAACTAGGACAAATTTAAATATCACCTCAACTAAAATGCACAGATTATCCCCTCCTTATACATCACACTACACAGAGCACAAAATGCATTGATTTGCTTCTTCTCTGCATGCATAGATTAGTCATTAAAGTAGAGTGAAAGTCTCATTCTTGCAAAAATTTTGCATCATCTAAGTTTAGCAAATGAAAGAATCTGTGCCCCACCTCCTCCCAGTCAAAAGTTTAACTGCTTTGACTAAGTTCTAAACATGGAAATTAAAGGTATCTTAATGTAAGTGTTATAAAAAATATTCCAAGGAGACTGTGAGATCCCTTTGGCAAAGAAGGAAAGTGAAGACTCAGTGGGACTAATTATTCTGCCGAAGCATTTGTGGTTTAAAAGAAGTGTGGGTGAGAACAAACATCATAAGATGAAGGCAAAGAAAGACATGGTGTGCGAAAGACATTCAAGACAAGAACCGATCAAGCAAAAACAGAAGAAGAAAAATGAAGAAGGCAGAAGAATTGTGTCACCTTAAAGTCTAACTGCTCTATTTTAATGTGAGCTTTCATGGACAAGTCCACATGCACAGACCAGAGAGCAGGTAATTCCAGTGTTTCGTTTAATTCACATGCAAAAGTGTGTAAGGCGGAGGAACATGCAGACAGGAATTTGTGTATTATAAGGAAGTTCCTTTTAAAAGGAAAATCTGCTAATATTTGTGCTGTTTGAACATTTTTTAAATAAAAGTGAAGAATTATAAATTGGGAGTAAAGTGAAGAAAAATCTGTAGAAAGCTGAAAGCAAACATTTTCTTTTTTAAACAAAAGGGTGGGAGAAGGTATGGGAGATATGTGACAGGCCAAATTTCATGGTGTAAAAACGTGGAAATCAAGGAAAATCCATATGTATAAGTTTGCCTATCCCTATTGGGAGGCAGCAATGGAAAATCTATTACCACACTTATCTATTTACCTTTCTTTTGCTTACTGCCTGTTTTATGCTTATGTTCCAAAGAATTTTATTCTAGGAAAGGGACTTTATTCATTCTTTTCCATATGTTTACAATAAAGTTTATTTGATCCTTATAGGTTTCAATTGTCAAATGGAAAAAACGGGACAGGAAAATGAAACAGTGGTCACTGAATTCCTTCTCCTGGGATTTGGAGATTTGGGGGATCAGTGGTTTCCTCTCTTCCTGCTCTTCTTGGTGATCTACATTGCTACCATAGCTGGGAACATCCTCATCATCATGCTGGTTATAATTGACCATCACCTCCATACTCCTATGTACTTCTTCTTGGTTAACCTATCCTGTCTGGAGTTTTGTTACAGCTCCAGTATCCTTCCTTTGATGCTGGCTAACCTTTCTAAAGGGGGTCAAGGAACCATTTCTGTAACTGGCGGCATGGTGCAGTATTACTTCTTCAGTTTCTTAGCAGGTACCGAATGCTACCTGCTTGCTGCAATGTCCTATGACAGGTATGTGGCAATATGCAAACCACTGCTCTATAGAAGTCTTATGAATAGCCAGGTTTGCCTGCAGCTAATAGCTGGATCTTGGATAAGTGGTTCTTTAGCTATTGATATAACCATTTATTTAGTGCACCAATTAAAGTTCTGCAGCTCTCATGAAATCAATGATTTCTTTTGTGATCTCAATCCAATAGTAAGACAGGCATGCAATGATACACACCTGATTGAACTCTTATCAGTCTTTTTTGTTGCTGTGTTTTCCTTGCCTCCCTTCTTGTTGACCTTGGCTTCTTATGTTTCCATCATATTAGTCATTTTGAGAATCCCATCTAGCAGTGGAAGGAAAAAAGCCTTCTCAACGTGCTCCTCTCACCTCATTGTGGTGTCTCTCTTCTACAGTTCAATAATGATTGTTTATATGTTGCCCAAAATGGAGGAGCTAGAAGATCTCAACAAAGTCTTCTCTCTCTTTTATACAGTCCTGACTCCTTTCTTCAACCCCCTGATATATTCCCTGAGAAACAAGGAAGTAAAGGAAGCTTTTAGAACAAATGTTGCAAGGTTGTGTGTTTCCCCTATTCTATTAAGGATATCATTTTAAGAGTTCTTTCTGACAAAACGGGGGGGGGGAGGCTTCTTTATGCATTTGGGAGTAATAAAATGGTACCTAGATTTTCCTTTCTATGTAGATTGGAAGGGTATAGCTCTCTTTCCTTCAGTTTTTACTTCCTACGTAGTGTAAATTATGGGTGTATACAATATAAAGTTCACATTACTACCTTTAATAAGTTAGAGCTGCTTGATTGTGTCCATTTTCCTTTTAAGTAAAGTGCTGGTTTAAAATAAATATGTGTGAGTTGTGGAAATGACCGATGAGGTGTGCCGGTCTTTGGGATGTGATCACATCAAGTTAGATGCAATGAGGTGACTATATGTATTTTTTCTCCTTAACAATGTGAATAGAATCCACTCATGTCTTTAACATGAGGAAAGGTGAGGGGGACAGAGCAATGCCTCTTCTACCAGCTGGAGGTGGTTTGCTCCATCCAAATGAAGGGCAGCAAGAATTCACAGGTCCTGAGCAGGACGTTTGACTAGCAGGGATGATGGTCTCTTCCTTAGCCTGAGTTATAAGGGGTGGGGGCTTCCTTGTGAAAGTGGGAATAATGGAATGGTATTCAGACTTCCCTTTTTATCTTTCTCTCCTTTGCTTTTCACTTTCCAAATTTTGTAGATTTTGCACATACAAAATATAGAGTTAACATAAATATCTTGAATAAACTAGATCTGCTTGCCTGTGTCTATTTTCCTTTTGAATGAAACATGAAGTCAGTTGAGGAGAACAAAGCAATCCATGTTCTACCTCGTGAGCATGGTTTGCTCCATCTGGGCTGAAGTTTACCAAGGTTCACAGGTTCAGAACATGAAGTTTCGATAACAAGGATGATGATTTCCTCTCCCACCCACTCCAGGCTTCCCTTTATTCTATTCCTAGGCAGCAAAATCCTATAGGTGATGTAGCTGGGATATGTAGACACAATTCTAACATTATAGCTGAAAGCCTGTTGACACATGTTGCAGAATGAATTTATTGGTGGTGACAAATTTTTGTAATTAAAGATTTTCCCCTACAGCTTGCAAACCTCAATAATGTCTAAAGAAATGGATTCCATAGGAACCTTGAAACCATTAGGGGGAAGATGAGAAGTATTTTCTTTCTGAAAAACTATGTGACTGATGACATCACCAGCCTTCCATGGTATAAGTTGCACAGCAGGATTTCAGCTATTGAGTCCTAGAGTAGTCAGGGAAATAAAAGGTGGGAGATTTGAAATCCAAGCCCAAGAGCAGACTGCTTTTAACTTTTGATTGAAGTGTTCTGGAAGTGTACTGTCTGCTTTTGCATCTTAATGCTTTTTCCCTTTTGAATCAAATGTGACTGAAGTGCTTGTCCGGATTTTCGACAGCTATAAGTTTACAACTGTGATGTATTTTCTGACTTAAATATTTGTTGAAAATGTACATTCAGTTTTAATGGATCTTTAAGCATTTTAAGTCTATAGTCTGACTTTTGCATTCAAACATCTGTGCCTAGAGTTTGTTTCCTCACACCTATAAGACTGTCTTTGATGATTTTTTTGGATTTGCTGTTTCCAAGTATGGAACCTCGAAATGATGTACATGGGTAGAAATTGTACAGATTTGACAAGTTCTGGAGTTGTCTGGAATTATAGCAAAGAAGACATTTGTGAAGAAATACTCAGATGTGTTTGGATATTACCGATTACCTGATTTCATTCTTTACTGGCATAATGTCAGCTATAATGAATAATATAATCTTTGCCTCAGAGGTCTATAAATCTTTGTAGGATTCCTGGGGGAGTCAGGATCTGACAAGCTATCCCTCTAGAACATGGTAAGAGGAAAAACACACCATTCTCTTAGTCATTTTCTCTCAACCTGATTTACTACATAAGCTAAGCTATTCATATCATCAAAAATACATCGTGATCTCTAGGTAAAGGTAAAGGTTCCCGTTGACAATTTTTTTGTCCAGTCGTGTTCGACTCTAGGGGGTGGTGCTCATCCCCGTTTCCAAGCCATAGAGCCAGTGTTTGTCCGGAGACAATCTTCCATGGTCACATGGCCAGTGCGACTTAGACATGGAACGCTGTTACCTTCCCACTGAGGTGGTCCCTATTTAACTATTTGCATTTGTATGCTTTCGCACCGCTAGGTTGGCGGGAGCTGGGACAAGCGACGGGCGCTCTCTCCGTCGCGTGGATTCAATCTTACGACTGCTGGTCTTCTGTCCCTGCAGCACAGGCTTCTGCGGTTTAGCCTGCAGCGCCACCACGTCCCTTAGTGATGTCTAGGATGAGGATAAAGCTCTGTGTGAGCATACCCCAGCTGTGGCTGGCCACTGTAGTGGGTAGACAACCGTGTTTGGCAAACTAGGCACACTTTGTACATCTGGGTCCTGGGGAAAGGCAGGGGGAATGCTGATGCTGCTCTGGCAGACACAGCTGCAGGGATGACTGGGACATAAAAGGTGAACTGGAAGGCTCAGAAGAGGAGGTTCAGTGGAGGCTGATCCACCCTGAGGGGAGGTGACAACGAAGTTGCCAGGGTAAGACAGAATGGGAGGAGGCTCCAAGAGCCAAGATGTCTGAAAAACTAAAGAGTCATCAAGTCCTGCTGCAGACAATACAAACAGCTGCCCCCCTTGCTCCCACCTTGAGCTATGGGTTTTCCAGCCAGCTCACTCAGCCTAATCTCTGTCTCTGTGCCCGGTCATCTCATACAGCAGTTTCCGTATGGAGGGGGGTCCACATGAATATTCCCTCTGGCAGAGGCCAAGGACTAGAGGGTGTGGACACAGAAGGGCAGTGTGCCTCCTACCTGCAAAGTCTCCTCAAGAGACCTCCCACCCAAGCTGTACTTATGAATGTTGGTGAAGTGAAGTAACCTCCATAAAACTGTGTTTACCCATTGAACTAGGGCTGTGGACTTTGTTTTGGACTTGTCTGTTACTGGCCCAGAAGGGCCTGTGTCCACAAGGACTTCTTATGTTCCTGGATCATCAGGGCCTGGGTTTGACAAGAACTATGTTGCACCTTGGCCTGGAAGAGCCCAATCCTGCTAAGGACTTTTCAGTTATCTGCCCAGAAGATCCTGAGTCGGCTAAGGACCATGTACCTGCAGACTTGTTGAGGCCTGAGTCTGCCAAAGCCTATTTCTGTTCAGGGGCCAAGCTGGATCTGATTCTGTAAAAGACTTTTGATGCAAGTTGTTCTCTCCCTTTAACAAAGCTCCTTGTTCTGCAAAGACTCACCCTTGCATGATGGAGGCAGCAGTGGAGACAGCTCAGACTTTGCCACAACTTGAATTTTAGGACTTGCTGGATAGGTCAATGGTTTTGTTGTCTGGCTAAAGAGCCAGGATCTGGGAGTGCAATTCCCAACTGTACCTCCTGGGAGAAGAGCCATCCTGTGTGGCCTTGTCAAAGCTGTGCAGACCAAGACTGCTTCCAGAAGAAGGAAATGGTAAACCACGTCTGGGTATTTTCTTTGTGGAAAACCTTGAAAAGGATAATCATAAGTCTGAATTGATTGGACAGCACTTTATTATATTTATTATTATATCTATGGATTTTAAGTGACAAAAGCAGATCAAGTACATTTTTATCCTACAGATCCCTTGAGTTGCAGGAATAATTCTGTTACTTACAGATTATTGTAGGAAGCATTTAAGTTATTCTGTGATAATCTACAAGAATTATACATTTTCAGACTTTCACATTATCATTATGTTTGAATGAAAAAATTAACAATTGGACAATTGAACAAGACAAAACTATTGCTTTAAAACCTTTTCACTAGTTGGGAAAATAATCTAAGAATGAGCATTTGGAGATGAATTTGGCCATGCTGGCCAATAGTTTCCTGGGAGTTGTAGTCTTCAAATGTACCTTTTCCAAAAAGTACCCCTATGCCAGAGTAATGAATGAGCCAGAATGCAATCATCTGTCAAAATGCATCTTTTTCAGAAGTTTGCAGTCCAGTTTACAACAGAGATATGCACACAACTATATACATAATGGAAAAGTGCAAAAATAATGCATATGGCAGGAGTGTATTCTCTTAGGGGGAAAACATTTGCATGGGCAAAAGTGTACAACACATGCATATATAAGGACATTTTTTGTTAAAATAAGTATTTACAGACAGATACAAATTTTTGCCCAGAACAAACTAGGACAAATTAAAATATCACCTCTAAAATGCACAGATTACCCCCTCCTTATACATCACACTACACAGAGCACAAAATGCATTGATTTGCTTCTTCTCTGAATGCATAGATTAGTCATTAAACTAGAGTGAAAGTCTCATTCTTGCAAAAATTAGTTTTGCATCATCTAAGTTTAGCAAATGAAAGAATCTGTGCCCCACCTCCTCCCAGTCAAAAGTTTAACTGCTTTGACTAAGTTCTAAACATGGAAATTAAAGGTATCTTAATGTAAGTGTTACAAAAAATATTTCAAGGAGACTGTGAGATCCCTTTGTCAAAGAAGGAAAGTGAAGACTCAGTGGGTCTAATTATTCTGCCGAAGCATTTGAGGTTTAAAAGAAGTGAAGGTGAGAACAAACATCATAAGATGAAGGCAAAGAAAGACCTTGTGTGCAAAAGAGAAGCCATTCAAGAACCGATCAAGCAAAAACAGAAGAAATAAGATGAAGAAGGCAGAAGAATTGTGTCACCTTAAAGTCTAACTGCTATATTTTAATGTGAGCTTTCATGGACAAGTCCACATGCACAGACCAGAGAGCAGGTAATTCCAGTGTTTGGTTTAATGCAAAAGTGCATAAGGTGGAGGAAAATGCAGACAGGAATTCGTGTATTATGCAGAAGTTCCTTTTAAAAGGAAAAATCTGCTAATATTTGTGCTGTTTGAATTTTTTTTAAATAAAAGTGAAGAAGAATTATAAATTGGGAGTAAATTGAAGAAAAATCTATAGAAAGTTGAAAGCAGACTTTTTCTTTTTTAAACAAAAGGGTGGGAGAAGGTGTGGGAGAAATGAGACAGGCCAAATTTCA